CTGACAGCCACTAGCTTTTTTTTCAGGTGGAAGAACTTGTTCAAGAACTAAGTGCTCCAGGCAGAGCATAGAGTCAAGCTGTTTGGCCCTTAGTACAGCCAAAGCCTGCCTGCAACTCATCCTCATGGAACTGTCACTTGGTTAAGCCCTTGATATTACGTTAGCGCCATACAGTTGTTTAATTTAGGCAGACTGAACATGTAATTTGAGCATATGCTAACAATTAAAGTTCTGAACCACTGGTCATATTAACATTATATGTCATTTTATGTGAAATAATTATTGCAATATATCTTCATAATATTGCAAAAACAACATTTCAAGTATTTGGGAAGTGATAAAAGTAATATTTTACAACCTTTTTTTTATTCAAGATATGTGCCTTGATATTTGATCACACCTTTTGAAATATGAGGCATTCTAGATATTTTATTATAATATCCCCCTAGATGCTACTTAGCATTCTCAGTCATTTTACTGAAATGATTGAAAACATTGATTCCAAACTTTTTAATGGTCGCATGCATGTCCAGGCTATTCCTCCATTCCATCTTTTTGAGAAGAACATCTGTGTGAAAGTCAATAGTGTCCACTGCTCTATATTTACAACACGTTTATTTTTTAAATCATTCTTGACCTTCAGCACGGCCTTACTCTGTGTGGCTCACTGGGATTTGAGTCACTAAAACTGCTGAGATTTGAGACAGAATAGACTCCAGTTGTAAGACTTTAAGACTTTAGTACATCCTTCTCCTCTGACCGCCTTAGCCACTTTCATGCGTGACCTTGTGCTGGATTGGTAAGAGCTTATTGCAAGTGTGTTATAGGTCTATCAATGTTTCAATTAGTAGGAGGGCCAGCAAAGACAGGGCGACGAAAGGGCTGCCAGGGAAACTCTCTCTGAGGAAAACAGCTGTCAGTTTTATTTCTGGCCACTAACAGAAACAGCTGGAAACGTGCCTGGGCGCGTGGGAGCAGCTCCAGCCGGCTCACCATCTCCATAGAAACCAGCTTGAGCCGCTCTTGTCAGGGCCCCCCTTTCCCATCCTGAGGGACCGTGGAGCGGTTGCTTTCAATAAATCTACTGATTACAGTAAATGACTGTGGACTGCTAGGGCATGTGACTTATATGAATAAAGGTAAATACTACACATTCTGCCCTGGGGATATCTGTGCATGGAGAAATACAGTAGGTGCTTGTATAGTACTGTGCAAAAGTCTCAGGACAGCCTAGAAAAGTATAAAGCGATTAATCTTTGTAGTGAGTGTTTTGCTTGTAAAATATTACACAAGAATAAATACAAATAAACACAGTGAAAAATTATAAGAACTTCTTGTTTTAAAAAGGGTAAGTGTATGTTGTGAGATGTTTAGAAAAACACAGGTCCCTCTTCACCTTAATGCAGCGCTGCCATTTCATGTATTTGCTTCATCGTACCATCAGCACAGCCGATTTAATGAAGGACTGATTAGTTCAGTCACGCACTGAATGCTAAATACTACAACCCTGTTTCCAAAAAGTTGGGATGCTGTGTAAAATGTAAATAAAAATAGAATGTAAGGATGTGCAAAACATTTAAACCCTGTACTTAAGTGAAAATAGCACAAACACAATATATCAAATGTTAAAAATGAGAAATTTAATTGTTTTTTGAAAAATACATGCCCATTTTGAACTTGATGCCAGCAACACGTTTCAAAGAAGTTGGGACGGGGCAACAAAACTTGTAAAGTTGTAACATGCTAAAAAAAAGCACCTGTGGAACAACTCACAACTAATTTGATTAATTGGCAACAGGCCAGTATAAAAAGAGCAGGTCAGAGTCTTTCAGAAGTAAAGATGGGGAGGGATTCACCACTCATATCATAATCATAATTCAAGAATAATGCTTTTCAACATAAAATAGCAAAGAACTTCGGGATTTCATGGTACACAATATCATTTAAAGATTCAGAGAATCAAGAGAAATCTCTGTTCAGACGATGTCTTATTTCAGCAAAACAATGCCAAACCACATTCTCTTACAAAACATGGATATGTAGTAAAAGAGGTATGGTGCTAAATTGGCCTGCCTGCAGTCCAGAGTTGTCACACATTAAAAACATTTGCACATTATGAAGTAAAACACAACAAAAGAGACCCAAACTGTTAAGCAGCTGAAATCCTACATCAAACAGGAATTGGAAAATTTTTGCTTTCGAAACTACAGCAATTGGTTTCCTCAGTTCCCAAATGCTTTCAAAGTGTTGTTAAAAGAAGAGGTGATGAAACACAGTGGTAAACATGTTCCTGTACCAAATCTTTTGTTGCTTATATTTTTCAAAAAACAATACAATTTCTCAGTTTCAACATCTGATATTTTTTCTTTGTATTATTTTCAATTAAATATAAGGTTCAAGGGCAACACGGTGGCGCAGTGGGTAGCGCTGTCACCTCACAGCAAGAAGGGCCTGGGTTCGATTCCCGGCCGGGCGACCAGGGTCCTTTCTGTGTGGAATTTGCATGTTCTCCCCGTGTCTGCGTGGGTTTCCTCCCACAGTCCAAAAACATGCAGTCAGGCTAATTGGACATGGTAGATTGCCCCTGGGTGTGAATGTGTGTGTGATTGTATATGTATGTCTGTCTGTCTGCCCTGCGATGGACTGGTGACCTGTCCAGGGTGTATCCTGCCTTCTGCCCAATGACAGCTGGGATAGGCTCCAGTGACCCAGAAGGATAAGTGGTTTAGATGATGTATGTATGTATAAGGTTCAAATAATTTGCACATCATTGCATTCTGGTTTTATTTAAGTTTTGCACAGCATCCCAACTTTTTTGGAAACAGGGCTGTATTACAGTTCATTCCAGACATTGCACAATGTGTATTATAATGACAAGCAACTCTGAGTTTGGACCCTTGGGCAAATGCTGAACACAGATAAACTGACGTAAACTAGAGTTAAACTAATGTCTTCATTCTTGAAAGATTTGGTTCTACGTCAATCTTCCACCAAACTTGTCAGATGTTGATATTAAGTATCACTGAATGCATTTCGATAAGCAATGCATGTGATTAATAAAGTCTGAGGAATACTGAGGCACCATAGCATCACAGCCTTCATTTATCCAAAAAAAAACAAACAAAAAAACAAACAAACAAACAAAAAAAAACAACTAACAACAGAAGAATGGCTCTACTCAGATACATGTATTGGCTCCCAATGTACAAAAAGAGCCAACCCATTTGCAAACAACAAATCCAAGGCTGTCTCGAGGAGAGGTTTGGAAATGGTAAAGCTACAACTTTAATGTTAATGTCTCTCTGGTCAAACAAAGGCTTACTGCCCAGATAAACAGGTTTATGTAATTATCTCAGGTGACTTCAGCACAGGACTGTATATATTAGTACAATCTAGAAGAAACATTACGCAGCAGGGTCAGCAGGGGTCACAGTCTGTGTGCAAAGACGTTTATGCTTGTCCTGCACTACACACCATTAATGCTCTTGTTGCAGCCTGAGGCAAGGACACAAGTCAAATCTGTATTTCTTGTCATCCTCCCCTCTCTCCCCCCTCTCTCCTACCCTCTCTCCATCGCACACACATGGATCATCCATACCTGAAAGTGACCAGCTTGACTTTACAAAGGTGTTCCCATTCAAGTCAGGCACATGAATCTAATTTGAGAGATCTGTAAGCAAGGCATGTGCAAACCAACAGAGGGAACACACAGTACAGTGCAAGGACTTTGTTAACATAAAACAACTCTTTACTACTACGATGGGTATATTTCACAACACTGAACTTCATGATCAGCAAAGTGTCTCTCTTGGTATGAGGAGTAGGTTTTGCTAATAAGGATTTGGCAGTCTTCTTTTCCACATTGTAGTTAAAAGCACACACTGAAAAGTGTTTTTGCCATGAGGGTTCAAAGCTGGTTTAAATACCTGCAAGGTGGTGAGTGCTGATGTCATAATAAGGTGATAAAATGCATGAGTTTTGACATTCATTTACAGGGCACAAAAACTGTCACAAGTGTTTAAGTGTGATAATATTTTCCTAATAATAATAATAAACTTAATAATAATAAACTTTTAAATGACATCGCATCATATCATAAACTTTTCTCATTATTTTAACATGCATTACAGTTAAGAATGTTTTTTCTTTTTCTTGTAACGTTTCCACTTCAGAGACACAGATTTTGTTTCAACAGTAATAATCAGGGGCAAGCAGAGCCTAAACCCATGCTCATGTAAAAATATTGGGTTTTTCAGTCAAATGAAGACTCTTGTAATGGTATTCTTCCAATAAACAACTTGAGAAGGAGTAAAAAAGAAGCATCTCAAAAATCCAAATGAATTACTGACAAACATATAGAACTACTTAAATACGTATAAGCATAAGTAACTAAAATACTCAGGCAAGTATAAAATATTACTCAAATACAAGTAACTGAATATACTCAGGACAGTACAAATATATCTAAATTTTACTTAAGTACATGTAACTGAGTAAGTGCAACTAGTTATTATCCACCCCTGGGGACAAATGTTATTGCAGTAAGTTATTGCAAACTGTAAAAAAAAAATGTTCATTTGTATTAAAACAATTTTGAAAAGCTAAGTGTTCCTAGCTTGAATGGGCAGCCCACATAGACATAAGCTGACATACTGTTTCATTAATTCAATCCAAAAGCTCTTCCCACAGACAGTGCACACAGACTCAAGAGCACCAAATCTTTGAGGGTTATTGTATTCGAGGATGTAAATATTGACCCAGATCACCTTCTTTCAGCATGTGAACAATGCAACGAGTGAAACAGGGTGTGCCAGAGTGCATATTTGACCTCAGCCTGCTTCCATCTTTATGTATGTGTCACACTGGAGAGGTTTGTGGAGGAGCACCTCTCTCTTTACTTGCTCCTCCGACTCCTCCCAGAGTACAGCAGGGGGAGGGGAGGAGAGTAGGAGAGAGAGAGACACAGAGAGAGAGAAAGAGAGGGAGAGAGAGAGAGAGAGAGAGAGAGAGAGAGAGAGAGAGAGAGCAAGCAATCTGAGCTCAAATTCAGCATTATGAGCACACCAGTCCCCATTCAGGCTGGGAAATGAAGGCTCAGACACACACTTCTGAGGAACGCTGCCACACTTCTGAGGAACCCTGCCACACTTCTGAGGATATCTCACTTGACTGCATCTGGGACAACTCGTTTGAGGTCATGGAGATCCTGCCCCCTTAACCTGGGGTCAAAACCTCACACTGCGGCTCATCAGGTTCACACACGCTCATGTAGGCTGGTGAAATAACACACTGCTATTCATCAGCTCTGTGTAAATCGTGCAAAACGCCACAAGGCTGACCAGGTAGAGGGACAGAGGGCGATAACTTGATTGAAGGTTGCTAAAAGCACGTGGATTTGACAATCAACAAACTGGGACTGGACAAACAGTGAGTTAATTTCTGTTTTGCCTACAGAATCACCAACAGAATTTAGACTATAGTTGTTATAGATGCTGCCTTACACAGTAGAATCTACAGGCTATATATATTTATAGTATGCATAAATATGCAATCCTCAACTTAATAACTTAATGCTAACTCAAAGTAACTGTGTATTACATTTTGCACATGAATATAATATATAACATCAGAATAATTACTGCCAAAAGTAAATAAAACTGAAAACCGAGTAAATTAAATGTTTTATGTTTTCAGAGTACTGGATAAAAATATAAAATGAGGAATTTACAAAGGAGCTCAAAGAGTTGAAAGTGTGATTAATGAAAGGTTATCGTCTTATCAGGAGACGTATGCATTAAGGTAGTTTTGGAAATGTTTAGAACTTTCTTGGACACTTTAGAAGACTCTACATCAGCAAAAGAACGTGTGTTTACAGGTTACCATAGGCTAGAGTTCTAGGGCCTGAACCATAATGGAGTCATGTTACATATTTAAGATGATTCATACTGTGTCTTTTTAAGAAAATGAAAGTGAGAGTCATCTTGCATTAGTCAATGGGAGACACTTCTTAAGAACAGCTTTTGAATGGGCACTGAATGCACTGAAGTCATAGAATGCTGTGTTTTTGTGTGTGTGCTGTAAGGATACTGCGGGAGAACGCTGCTGGAGTAAAGATCATGCACTGACAATCAGGTAAGAGACTCTGGGAGCGCTCATCAAACACACATACAGATACCTGCAGGCTCACACGCATTTAGGACTGGATGATTAACTAAGACTACGACAATAAGGCAATTTCGTCTATAGCATGGGTTCTCAAACCTTTTTCTTGTCTTGGGGGGCCAAACTAAAATGTCTGCAGTGATCCAAGGGCCAAAAAGACAAAACAATTTACTTTATAACTTTAAAATGCAATTTTAAAAGAACAATAAGAATGTAATCAGATATATGTAGTATAAAAGTATGCTGGGGGTGGGTTAGGGTAACTTTCTGGTGGGCCAAATCAAACATCCTGTTTGCCACACTTTGGGCAGCCCTGTCCTAATGTCATCACTAATAGAACAAAACCTTGTATATTTATTTATTTATTTTTTCCATAATTTGAGAATACCAGCTGTCTACTGAGTAAAAGTCACAATGACTGGACCAACAGAAATGATCCAAAATTACTTAATACAATCTTGCTACATCAGGGTACGTTAAAGAATGTTTTTTCTTCTTCTGTAAAGTTACTATTATGGAAAGATGATTCTTCAAACAACGAAGATACACAGAAATATGGACGAAAAACTTGCTAAAACATAACCATCAAAAATGAAATTACATACATTAGGTGTGTTTGTTCGGGTAAATTTATTTTATAAAATACATTCTGTGAACCCCTTAACATTCCAGGCTTATTACACACTAAAGCTTATTATTCAGTAATGACAGGAACTTCAATGCAAACTAATGGAGCTTTTCTTGGGTTATAAAAGTGTGATAACGGCGAGCCCATGGCTTGGTAAGGCGTTAATTTTCAGTGAATGTATAATACTGAATTACTTGAAAAACTAATCAAATGCTGACCTAGATTAGTGTGGCATCTCACACATAGAACGTTTCACATCAACAGTCATATCTGTCCATTCTATGTCACTGATAGCTGGCTTACTTACATAAAAACCAACAAATGTGCTCTGTAACTAGTCCTATTTATTCACGTGTATTTAAATGACATGTTGATGGATTGTTACTTTTCAGACTCCCTTCAAATGGTAATACTTCACTTAAGTATATCTGTGAGGACAGGGATCTATTTTTCATCAGTTTCCCTGTAGCAGTAAAGAAACGCTGAAGTCCCAATTCTTGATTGTGCTTTACTTCATTCTGCTCAGTTGGCTAATCACCTTGACTCCTTTGCTGTAACTCTGGCAGGGTAAACAGATGGACCAGTTGATTAAAGCCCAAAAGGCTGCCTGAAGCAGCCTGGCAGGAGAGCTGGCATCTCCAACTGCTGTATCACAGCTCCCCTCGACACACCCCGAGCCTAATCAGCTTTCCATAGATTGCTTTGGCATGTGGGAGTGGGATAATGTGTTTACCTGTTCCAGTGCATGTTTAAGGAAAAGGCCAGAGTTCAGTATTACGGGGCAGAGGGTGAAATGGTGGCTGGCAAACAGATGCTTGAGCATAAAAATAAAAGTACAAAAAAGGGTTCTTTGTAGTGATAATTCATTTTTATATATGGGATGTACAAGTGTGATTTTTTTTTAAGTTAAAGAACCTCCACCTGATGCTTGTCAAATTAATAAGACTTTAGCTTATGATTAATAGCCATACAAAACAATTGCAACTCATTGTATGGAAGAACTAATGCACAAGTCTAAAATGGACAAACTGGCTAAGGTGGACAAACTGGCTGACTGTCCTAGCTGTTGATTCTCTGTAGCTCTCAACTGATGACAGACACAGCTCGAGCCCAAATAAACAAACAATACTGAACACTGCCCTCTAAACACGTGATAATACCTGTCAGAATTTAGAACTTTCACTGTTTTTGTAAAACATGCATTTGCTTTCTTTTATTTATTGTATTTGCCTGAACTGAAGAAAATAAATGTGGTCAGCAAAAACAGCTGTGATCAGTAATATGTGACATGCAGTAATTGTTACAGGTGTTACAATTAACAGTGCAAAGGCTCTACAAAATTAACAGGATTATTCAAAGCATATGCCTAAACCAACAACCATTTCTTTATTTATATATATATATATATATCTTGAATTAGTTATCTTAACTTCAATCAATCTTGAATCACCTTTCATTGTGTAATATACTGACATCAATTATAACAACTCTATTACATTAAGTGAACTCTTCCATATAAAAACGAGTAAATGGCTTATATAGGACTATTATATAGGACTTTTATTTATAAATTAGAAAAATAAGAGTTAATTAGCAGAAACCAACAAATGCTCTAAGAATGCTGGGAAGCTTTTTGGGCAAAAGACTCTTCATTCTGTAGGACCTATCCAAATAAACTGATTTTAGCTAGATTTACCTAAGTAACTAAGGATTACACAAGAAACAGTATGTGGTACAAAATCTGTATTAGTAATTTTAACAAATAAGGAAACTTACATTTGTTAGGTGCTATTCTTCATTTCTTCTCTAAAATAGAATACTTGAAGGTGTGCTGTGTGAGCCACAGTCCAGATGATGCACCAACAGTACAGAATGAACACAACACAAAAAGAGAACAAATACATGTTCCTGAGTGGATACTAGCCATCCGAGTTCAGGACTCATTCGTTGTCTTATTGGCTTCAAAATCTGGTTCAAATGGGTGGCTATAAAGCAAGATGATTTAAGGTGCTGGTGAATAAGGTGAAATTAATTTGTTTTTAAATAAAGCAGCTATCTGATTAAATATAAACACTTCACAGCATGGCTTGGGCTCAGATCTGAGTCATGATTTTCTTTCCTGGCCACTCTTGTTAGAAAGGGATTCAGCCATACTGCACCTCTTTCAGTATTATGTGCCAAGACCCATGTTCATGACCCTGGTCATTAACATGCCATGAATTGCAAGCCTAGACAGCTGTTTTGTTGTCATTAAGTGTGAAGCTAGGGGCCACAACAGCTTATTAATGGCTTAAAGATGAAAGGAAATTTGTTGCTGGCGCACATTTTTATTATGCTTTTGTTCGGGTATTAGTCACTATATGCTTGCACATGTGTGCCCAGGTGTGAGCACTTATTGATAAGTGTATAAGGCAATAATGAATAGCAAACAAACGGTCAAAAATAGACTCAAGCGGTACAAAAGAAGGCAAGAGCATAAGCATTCGCTGGAAATTCTTCAGCAAAGTGTCATTCAGGCATGTAGACTACAGGCAGCAACAGTGAAACAGAAAAACAGAATAATCAGTTACTGACTATTGTCTGCTACTGCAGACATTTAGTCAAACACTTTTGTTCTACGTTACAGTGACAGTTCAGCTAAAAATCAAACCCCTTACCCCAAATGTAGTTAATCAGCTAAGGCATGTTTGGTGTCTGAAGTTTGCTTGCTTAGCTTGGCACGAGAGCTATGAGGCCAAAATTGCTTACAAGTAATGGAGGCTTATAACCATCAATTAGCACCATGCAAAGTATATGCCACTGAGTTAAGTAATCTCAAATACACTTGTTTATGTGGCTTATGACACATAACTCATAGTTATTTTAAAAAATGGATAAAAATATGTTGCACAGCTGTAGGCAGCCATCGCGAAGCCTGAAGTTTGTCTGTATTTTTGTCCATTTTTATAAATAACAGTACATCATACAGTATCAGAAACCATATAGGCATGTCTATTTGAGATTACTTAATACCGTGACACATTGTGGTGACTTCTGGCATGCACTCTGCACAGTGCTGATCGGTTGAAGCCGACACCATTATTTGTTATGCATATTAGGTGAAAAGCTCTGGTGCCAAACGAAAGGAGCAAACTTTTTCCAAGTTATATCTTGGCTGAGCACATTTTGGGTAGGAAGAAAATAGTAAAATTAACTACGGCTGAACCGTTGCTTTAATAAACATTTCACTGTCCATTATTGCAGAGGGCAGAAAGGGTGTTGCAGGCTAGGCTGGGAGAGAACATACTTTAAGTGTGCTTCTTATAGTACAGTTACACCCAACACAAACACTAATGCCACCATTCCCAAATGTAAACTTGGACATGATAGAGTTTCAAGGAGTTCCTACTGGGACTCAAGAACAATTTATTATATCGTCCTGCGGTGCTTTATCAGTTCTCAGTGTGAGAAACAAAGAGTAAACAGGCAAAGTGAAAGGTACTTAAGACAAGCATGTGAAAATGGGAGGATACGTGTGGGAAATTATTTTTTTCCTACCACATAGATATATTTATATATTTATCTAACATTAGAAATATTTGTCTGTGTAACTATAATCAGAACTTTAGGATGTGAGCTCATATCTAATAAATATAAGACTTTCTGGAAAAGGAGGATGTACAAATAGCCTTAAAGCTGTGGAGGAGAGATGGTAGGAGGGCTGACAAAGAACAAGAGAAAGGAGAATGAGTAATCTCCAGAGTCAAACAGACGAGTCTTATTCCTTCCTGAATAACTCCAAACTCTAAGGTAAAGAACGAGGCTGCAGAAACAGGCCTGTCACAAGGAAAGTGGAAGATTGGATTGGCAGCAACCCTCGGACAAGGAAGTTAAAAGATTAAATGCATTTGGAAATCCAAATAACTTGGTGGCATACCTGCAAAGAGACATTTCTCATTTGATATTTTCAGATAGTTTTTGGTAACATGGAAACAACTAGCCTTAGCAAATGGTGATATAAGAACATCATGAGTAACTCCAGTCATGCTAAACCCTCTTAGGTCCTTCATGGTATTATTTCTGCAAGCCAGACTTCTGCTTCTAGTCAGAAGACATTTCACTGTGCAACATGACCAAAAACCTACTTTGAACCTACTCTGAAAGGAAGGGGCCATTTGACTGACATGCAAAATAAGCAATCACATTTATTTTACCATGATGTGTAGGGTCAAGTAATTTTTACAGTGTCACAAGAAAAAACACATCTGTGGGAAACAGACTGGTATTGGTAAAATATGAATTTGATGAAAAGTTATTGTTTAGTTTTGCTAAATATTTTTCATTTCTTTATATAAAAACAAAA